TGTACGAAAAATCGTGTTTTTAGCTTGTGGACCCCATAAACTCATAAAGGTCACAATTTTTATCCGATTTAAAAAATTATGGCCTCTGGTTGTACGAAAAATCGCGTTTTTAGCTTTTGGTCCCTCTAGAGGTCACAATTATTATTCGATTTAAAAAAAACGTTCGAATATATCACCGTTACACCGTAATGTTTGTTGACTTCGAAATTTCATGAAAATCGGGCCAAAACTGCTGGACAAAATGGCCGCCCCTCGTACGCAAATAGTGTAAACATCTAGTAAATCAAGGTTGTTGACCCTCCAGAGGTCACAATTTTGATCCGATTTCGATATTGGTTCCTGTTGATATTCGCGCATATCGGATCGTAACTTCCTGAATTATAGCCCTTGATTGAACAAAAATTCACGTTTTTACCTTGTGGTCCCTGTAGAGGTCAGAATTTTTATCCGATTTAATAAAACGTGTGAATATATCACCATTACACACTAAGATCTTGGTTCCTTTTGATAATCGGGGATACCCGAACTTAACTTCCTAGATTATGGCCCCTGATTGTTCGAAAAATCGCATTTTAGCTTGCGGATTCACAAATTTTTTCTGATTTTAAAAACCGTTTAAATACATCACCATTCCACCATAATGAAGATTAAGTCGTATTTCGGGAAAATCGAAATGAAACTGCCCGACAAAATGGCCGCTCTTTGTATGCAAATTGTGTAGAAGTGTGTAATACGAAGGTTGTGGACCCTCGGGAGGTCACAATTTTTATCCGATTTTGATGAAATTTAAAACATTCTTTTGATATTTGCACATTTGGGGCCATAACTTTCTGGAATTTTGCCCCTGATTGTACAAAAAATCGCGTTTGTTTTTAGCTTGTTCTCTATCCATCTGTTGCAAAAATGTGGGCGTATCCTGTCTGGCAGCCGCTGGTTAAAGATAATCTATACTAATATTTGTGACTGTCGTTTGTCTGTCTGTTTGTTTGTCTGTCTGTTCGGGGTTGGCGGCTACACTAGGTCTGCCCCGAGTCTGAAATTTGGGGTATAGGGTTAGCTCGGACCGGGGAGTAACATAGGCCAGGTGGCGTTAGTCTACCACTTCCGGTTTCGAAGTTGACCCCCCGGCTGTTCGGGGTTGGCGGGTACACTAGGTCTGCCCCGAGTCTGAAATTTGGGGTATAGGGGTAGCTCGGACCGGGGACTAACATAGGCCAGGTGGCGTTAGTCTACCACTTCCGGTTTCGGAGTTATGGCCCCCGAGCGAAGCCGGGTAACCTGCTAGTATGTCATATAGGACACCATCAAAAACCATACTTCGCATCTGATTTCATTCCGATTGTGTACGTAGAGATACTGTTATGAACAACTGGAAACTAATCAATACAGGTAGTATTGTCACAACAACCCAGACTTAGCAATGTATAAATCGTTTCAAAATATGTGAGTGATACTTATCATGTTTTATGTTTTAGCACCAAAAGCATTTAAATTAAAAGAGAGAGAAAGAAAACAACGGATAGCTCGATCCCCTTTCTCCACGAACAGACAGTATGATATACCTAAAGGTCCCGGGTTCAACATTCAAAAGAGTACAAAAGAATTAACACAATTTGTCAATGTTAACAGAGGAGATGCAAGTTGGAAAGTACGTTTTAAAACTATTGATCTTAAAAAGCAAGGCAAGGCAAGAATACATATAGAGAATCTCCTACCAGTCTTTTTTGATATCAAAAAAGACGAGTAGGAGATTTTATTTATCACCCAATCCCTTCTTACATGCACAAATAGATAAATATAATTCTTTGCTGTAGATTTCACTTTTACTGACCATTACGGTGTAGTGATACATCATTTTTTGACAGCAATTCAACCATTAAAAAATCCTTCATATTGACCCAGTGTTTCCATCAAGGTCAATTGAATAACAATAGTTCATTTTTAATAAAAAAAAAAGTTACTTTTAATAAGAAATAAACTGTTTACTATCAACATTTTACCCGGTTTCAAAGTTTGACATTTTTTTAAACAAGCGGCTGTCATGCAAGACACGCCCATGCAGCGCCTTACTCAGCGCCAGAACGGCTCTTTTGAAAAAATAAAAGTAAGATTAAAAGTAAGATTAGATTTTCAAAAAGGCTCAAATGTTCTTAACGACACCGGCAAATCTTCTAAGTATGATACAATCGTTTTACTTTAAAACAGCGCCATAGGATAACTTTAGTTCTAATGGTATTCAATGAAGACGTCATGTACGTAGACAAAAGACGTGTTACATTATAAATTAGATGGCAAACAATTACATACCCCAATGACTTATTTTCACTGTAGAAGCCAAAAACACATATTTTTGTAAACATTTAAATTAAACATAACTGATATTAAAGGTGTTGTGCCATAATCTATCAGATTTATCTTTTTTTAAAGTTGTACAGAACCTTTGTTTATAAACTGATTTTGATAAAACTTTCAGAATATGCACCAAATGACTCAATTTATCGTTTGTTATTGACATTTTACCTGATTTCAAAACTTCAATTTTATGACGTCACTTTGAAAAAATCAAGGTCAAATATCAAATTTCTACTGCGACAATCGATTGCGAATAGTGAATGCTTTCCAAAAATATCAAGCTATTGACATTCGGATAAAAACTGTAGGACGAGTAGGATTTTGAAGATTGACTTACATTTTCAAAATGGTGGCACTTCCGGTGAATTTTAACTTCATAAGATCACTTTACAAAATTGATAAACGACTTGTATTGACAAGTATTTTTAAATAGGGCAAAATTAAAGAAGTTGAAAATCTGACTTCCATCTTCAAACTATCAAAGGGGAGATAATGTAAAAAAACATTTTTGGCTTAAAGATACATTATGGGGGATAAGATAAAGTGCTGGCTGTTCTCATTATAATAGTTGAAAACTAGCTAATGTAAAGGCAATTTGCTGAAAATTTCAGTCAAATTGATCCACTATGAACCGAGAATTAAGCGATTGAAATTTCGACCTAGCCTCGATCATCATTACTAATGTCTGTACGATAAAAAACATATTCTCGATCATCATGATTAAAGTATGAATGTAAGTTGAGCAGCAAATAGGATCATAATCCAGTAAATATCGCAGGCTAGCGATGCCATCGAGGGTTGATTATGATCAGGATAAGTCAATCAATAACTGATTAATAAAATTTAGATAAAATTTCAGGGCTAAAGAAAGGCCAATTGACAGATTTAGCTCTTGCATAATGTATGTTTATTAATCCACCCATTTGTAATGTATTCAAGTCGAAATATGCAAAAATAAAAAAAAGTTACTTTCAGAATTTTCACTTTTTATCTAAAAATTGGACCATACGCGTGAGTCGTAGAGGCTACAATGTCCGTAAATAAAAGTTGAGAAATACAAACAGCTACAAATTGGTGAAAACCGCATTCAAATTGGTTGAAAAATAAAAAAGTTGCCTTTGATGTCTAATATTGGGCTATTTTTGTCGATAACGTCACTTCCTGTTATTATTTATAAAGTTTTAGTTATCCATTCACCTTTTGAACTAAATACCTTTCGGATAGTATAGAGTTTTATTCTGTAGAACATGTACTTTTTCCAAAAACGCGAGGAAATAAAATAGTAATAATCCGATTATGGAAGATGCAAGACAGTGTAGTTTTTACGAATGTATTTTCCTGCACTCGGGTGTGCTTAAGTATATTAAATATGAGATATTTAGTCGGATTTGAAGCGGCTGTCGGTCTTCTGTGGACTGTGTTCATATTGGTATCAGTACAAAGTTAACTTCAGATACATGCGCTAATCCAATTCTTAATGCAAATGCCTAAACTTTGGATTTCTGATTCTAATCTAAATATGAACACAGCCCCAACAAGCATAACAGTTTCATTACAATATTTCTTAACAACTTACATTAGCGATATCGTCCAATTTTATTGCCTAAATTTCGGAATTCCCGTGATTTAAAAAGTCATGTTAAATTTATTTACAGGAACCAACGAAATTTGAATTACAAAAATACGAAAGAGAGATGGCCGATTTTATTAGAAGACAAAAGGATGGAGATGGAAAGAAAAATAGGGTAATGATTTCACATAAACTATCAATCAATGATAAGAAATGCAAACGTAGCCATCAAATTTAATATTACGACATGGTTGTTTCAATATGACCCAAGTATTGTGTTGCATACTATTTATTTAGGGGGTAGTAGCCTATGCTCCATTATTGTGGACTATTGGTGCTTATCCTTCTTTTTATTATTTTATTATTTATAGAATGATCGTGATGATGACGATAGAGATAGATATAGAAGGTAGGTATAGTATATAGAAGTTATAGTTTACCGTTTTGTCAATAGACTATTTCAATTTTATAATCACGTGTCATGACGTGTGACGTGTACACATAAATGTATAAGCTTTATTTTTGTACGAATATTGTATATAATGATCTGTAAAAATTATATTTTACAGAGTGTTAAACAGATTGGATGCACCACTGTCTCCTGATTCGGGTCTGGACAGCGAATTCATGGCAGGTAGGTTGAAACAGATGATTTGGGAGCAAACGGTTGAATAAATTCTTGAATAAGACACCGCTGGGATTAAGTATTCTGGGATAGTTCCAGGTGAAAATAATATTTTTTGTTCCTGGCTTCGGGAGATGAAAACTAATTAACCGATGTACCCACAAAGCCATAAGACTTATTATTACTTTATTTACGTTCACAGAAATAATTTTTGAAATCATTTGTTTTGTTTCTTTGGAAAGATTCATTTAAAGGGCAGAAAGTTGATGGCGACAGAGATGATATTACAAAAATGAAATCTTTAGACGGTAAGTTTGTCATTTGAGGAAACATAGTTTGTATGGGAAAGTAATATTCTTTGTTCTTAGACTCGGGAGATGAAAACTGATTAACCAATGTACACAGAAAGACTAAAGACTTTCTATTACATATTTCACGTTCACAGAAATGATTTTTGAAATCTTTTTTTTTAAGATTCAGTTAAAGGGCAAAAAGTTGATGATGACAGAGATGATATTACAAAAATGAAATCTTTAGACGGTAAGTTTGTCATTTGAGAAAACATAGTTCTAGGTGAAATTTATATTCTTTGTCCTTTGGTTCGGGAGATGAAAACTGATTAACCGATGTACCCACAAAGACATAATACTTTGTATTACTTTATTCACGTTCACAGAAATAATTTTTGAAATTGTGTTGGGTTTTTTTAAGATTCAGTTAAAGGGCAGACAGGTGATACTGATAGTGACAGCGATGATATTTCAAAAGTGCAGTCTTTAGACGGTAAGTTTGTCATTTGACGAAACATTAATTATAATAATTAGATCATTAGATTCGAACTTCTTATTGAATAGCATAATTTGCCTGTAAGTACTGCATAACACCGAAGATTATCAGCCGGGCGGTTTTCCTTCATCAACGAATATACTGCCCGAGAGATAATCCCCGAAGTTTTGTCTTATATGCGCTGTAGCAATATGCATTAGCAGTCAGATGTGGAAAGCCGTCTTGCCAAACACTCCCCACATCTAACGTGTGACGCATACTCTCTTTTATGGTGCACGTTTTATTAGCCTTGTCTCTGTTTATATTAGTAATTCTCTTTTTTTGTCTTTTAGTTAGGACTCACGTTGTGTATTCATTTTTATCTCACCCGCTAAGACGTTTGTCTACCAGGAACAACAATGCAACACTCCGTTTTAACATTTTATATCAAACACTGGATACAAGTATAGATTACAATAAAAGTCATTCCCTACTCTCTCAACCCTACCTTTTCGTAGAACGAGTTTGCTGACGTAATCACGTAATGTCTACATCATATGGCTCTCCTACGACCCAGTGGGCCATTCAGAATCCAGATGGTTGGTGTCTCTTCAACCTCAACGGCATCTCCCACCGAATCTTCATGATATCTCTCTCAAGAACACAAAGCCCGTCTCACCCTATAGGATTCAAATCAGTCTTTTAAGATTGACAGTGGCCTTGAAACAGCTCTGTCATTATTTAATTGGACAAATATTACGTAATTAATTATGATGATTGGTTACTAAGCCTTAAATGACGTAGAGGACCACCCTTATATGGACAGTGGAAACTTTCCACCAGGAGTGTCATGCGTGTTATTTTGTTTTTAACCCAGAATTAAATGTTTATCAAATTATCACTGTTTTTATATATAAACCTATCGCTTATTCAATTTGAGTGCGTCAGATATGACTTCTCTACAATATGTGGAACCAATAATCAGTTAAAAACATACTATGGTCGTGCGCTACTGGAAAACAAACTATCTGGATGGCTAATTGAACTATTGTCAAATGTACGCTTTGATCGCTGATATCGTTTGTTTAAACCTGTGATGGGTACCGCAATATGTACATTTGTATAAACGTTGCAATGTCATTGTATGGGTGAACGATTCAATAACATATATCTGTAACGTGCATGTGTGCGCTGCGAACTTTGATCACTGGATTGTCACTGAGGTGGAATCGGGGTATCCCTAACACATAATTATTGTTGTACCAAGAAAAAATTCTCAGAAAAGATAGTTCATTCATTTTCGTTTCCTGTCTACCTACTTTTCATCGAATTCCAAATGTTAATGGATCTTTTAGGTATACAAAAATATGCACACGACGACACGAGTGGTTTTGTGCGTTCTCCACACGTGATCGGTTGGAACCGGACTTGATTTATTCCAGGGGTTTTCCCACCCCGAGCTAATTTGGCTCCCTGACTCCCAATCTCATTAAGGCCACTGCACATATTATGGATATCAAGACGATGTTGATTTATTTTGTTGACATTTTAAGATTCTGGAAGAAGAGAGATTGATGATCACAACAGAATGAAAGCAGACAAAGAAAATGCAGACGGGAGCTTAAATGGAGAGATAGAAGAAAGGACCAGAAAGGGACGAAAAAAGAGACAAAGTCAAAATGGTGAAATGACTCCTCTTTCAAAGGTAAATTATCAGTTATCAACCCAGCACAGGCTTGTACCTCAGGGAAATTCAAACCTACGAATCTAACAAGTTACTTACTGTCGCTGCTTAACTGGCAAACATATGCGTGGTAGTGTATATAGATGAATCAATTTGTGAAAATAGATTATCTCTTTGGCTCCAAAAATAACTTCCTCTTGTCACAATCATGTAAATTGCCCATGTATCTTAAGTCCCCGTGGTGATAAAAACTCGTATATTGTTAGTGGGTGTAGCGTCCTGCTTTTCTGCTCAAGACGTTTTCTCTTTGCCCCGCCCCTCCGTCAAGCACTCCTGAAAAAGGTATACAGGGCTAGAAAACATGCTGAGGAACTTCTTGGCCAACGCCAGTATCGAACCGGAACCCCCCGATTAATCATACTGTCCCATTCTCACAGAACCATAGAAATGTCCTGTAACAATGACAAGCAATGAGAGTTTTGAGTGGTATGAAATAAAGGAAGCAGTGTCTAACGATTAGATTATTCTCGGATTATCTAAAATGATACTCCAGATCAGTGGTTTTCAACCTTTTTTGTCAACGGCACACCTTGGAACACATGAAAAAATTGCGTCACACCTGGCTAAATATATATGAAATATATTTGAATTTTAAAATAAAAACATGGCAGGTTAGACGGCATGCAACCGTAGACAGAGACTAGTCATAGACACATAGAATGACTCAAACTATAATAAAGAAAAACACCACAGCTGTGAACTTATCAGTAGCCACCAATAAATACTCAATTTGGATCATGTGGTTTTTCGCATTTTCTTAGAGTGCCGTTCAAAATTCCGCGGCTCACTTAGGAAGATCTCGTGGCACACTGGTTGAGAATCACTGCTTCAGATAGTTGTTTTATGATGAGTAAAGTTTATCAATCTTATAATTTTATTGGATGGAGACTTGAATCATTTTTTTTAAATGTATTTATTCCTTTTTAGTCTCGCACCAAATCTGATGAAAAAGAGCTGGATAAAAAAAAAGATTCCGATACCGGTATTAAAGATGTGGTAAATTTACCGTCACCCCATGTTACTATGACGACACCCGATTTACCACAAATACAACAAAAGGTAGGCTAATTTATTGTTGAAATGTTTATATCCATACTGTCGGCGTGTTCGGCTCTGGATAATTATTAAATGAAAGGTAATGAAGCTGGCGTGCTAAAAAATCTACCCCAGAAATTCCATCAAGCCAAGTAGCCCTAGGAAGCAGAATCTGAAATGCCCGAAAAGACTTCGGGTTACAGACGGTGGCTCCTTTCGATTTTAACCGGAAGAAAATTGATAAAATCATTTTAACTTTACCATGCAGACCACTGTGTGGTGTTGATAAAATCATCATGTTTTATTGTAGCGACAAGAAGAATCCAGGAAGAAAATGAACTACGTGATTGAAGCACCACCTGTGATGAAGCAGCCGCCTAAAATACGTAAACCTCCACCTAAATTTAGAACACTGTAAGTAACACCGTCGTTTCAGTCGACCGAGACACGATCTTCATATGTCATTGTATTATGAAGTGGGATTTAACGATAATAGACCAAGGCCCAGACCATTTGGTTGATACTTAAATTGGTATAAAAGTAGTGATACCAGACGTGCCGCGTTCTGTAAAGATGTTCCAGAAAAATATTGTGCTGGCAGTATCCGGTTCATATGTATATTATTAATACTACGCGGTTTTTTTCCCCTTTCCAGTCGGAGCAGAAAAGTAGGACGTTAAACCCTATTTCATTTCATTTCCGTGTTAATTCGTTCGGTTTTTAAGTTCCCAGTTTACCATACCATTTTAATGACTTTGCTTTTACGCAATGAGATCTGCCATCGAGATATGACGTCGGTTGTTTTGGTATGACCTGCAGAAGGCGGGTTTTCGTTGCTAATGACCTATAAGGTAGATGCGTTAGCAATGTCAATCATTATGGGAAATTCGGCCGACGATATATTTCATTCCTGCAGTTGGTCTTAACGTGGAATCTCATTTAATATGATGTCACAATTTTTTATGGTGACATACATCATGTTAACATTTTCATGAATTTTATTTAATTAAACGAAAAAGCTAAAACAAGATTTTAAGTATCCCATTTTAATACCTATATACAATTAAACAAGGATTTTAATTTTTCATAGACCCGATATGAGACGATTTAAACGCAGACGTGGTAAGCCATCAGAAGCTTGTGTTAGTGCTGAAGGTTTAAAAGAAATTCAAGATCCTTTAGATTTCTTAGCAAAGTACTGTATTATCAAGTAAGTCATAACTTCCTAGCAAAGTACCGTATTATCAAGTAAGTCATAACTTCCTAGCAAAGTACCGTATTATCAAGTAAATCGTAACTTTCTAGCAAAGTTCTGTATTATAAAGAAAGTCACAACTTCCTAAAAGAGTACCATACTATCAAGTAAGTCGTAACTTCCTAGCAAAGTTCTGTATTATCAAGAAAGTCACAACTTCCTAAAAGAGTACCGTATTAACCGGTAAGTCGTAACTTCCTAGCAAAGTACTGTATTGTCAAATAAGTCGTAACTTTCAAGCCTAGGCTACTGTATTATCAAGGAAGTCATAATTTCCCAGCGAGTACTGTATTATCATCAGTTAAAGTATCGTATTACTGTATTAAGTACTGGAAGTACGAGAAACATTAAACATGCCTATCTGTGTCATATAAACTATGAATTAGACATTTATTAACATGACAAGACCATAATCAACTCTTGATGCCATCAGATAAGTCCCATCATCAACAGATTTAAATTCGATCTGAGGTTCAACGGCGGTTCATGATTAACCGCAAAAATGGATAATCGAGACTTTGTATATTATCGAAACAGCGGTAACAATGACACTCGAGGCTACAGTGTTATTGAAATAAGGATTTTTCCGCTCAGAGTGAAGTAATATGACTGAAATTTTCAGCATATTTCCTTTACATTATGTAAAGGCTCTTTCGGTTACTGTCGAGCTGTCGAAGTTACGAAGTTACGAAATACTGTCAAAGAGTGGAAGTTACGAAATATTGTAGTACGCTACGCAAGCCAAAATCGCCTTGAAAATATGAAATTAAGAAATAAACACCACCATAACAGTGCCCCTAGTTTTGTCGTGACTTCTTTTCCACTTGCATTTTGGCTTGTGTAGAGTGATATCGACTAGACTTTATCCCAGACCATTTTGTCAACGTGAATTGCACGTATTCAAATGTGACCTGGAATGTAAAGACTACAACAACTTCTGAGGCGAAACTCGAAAAGTCGACAGCAGGTCAAAATGATACGTCTCTAATATCGCGGTGTTTTAATTTCCTAATTTTACTTTTCGAGTTGCATTTTGGCTTTGTATGCGTGTTGGTCCCTTCTTACTGACATGCAAGTCGAAAAGTGGAAGTCACAACAAACTGACAGTCGTTATTATCGCGGTGTGTGTATTTCTTAATTGCCTATTTTCGAGTAGAAATTTGGCGTTTCGACTTTCGCGCTCTGAAATGGCGAAAAGTAGAAATTACCAAAAGAGTTTTAGCTTCCATAGGGATCAGCCCTGGTGCCAATCGTATAAAAAAATTAGAGTTCTAAATATTCCGCGATCCTCCTTGAATTCAAACTGCCCAGGTATTTTTACTGCACATGGTATCGCCCGATGGGTTGCTCACTACTTTTCAGACCCACTTATGTTCTCCCTGACAGGCGTGAATTATCTATTTTAAAAGTCGGAAATCGTATTTCTTATTCTCGCTTTGTACATTAAAGCAGAATTTCTATTAAAATAAAACCTTCTTGGATTGAAATCATACATTTTGAACATTATTACTTTAGGCATGTCCTTAATTTTAGCAACGCTAATAGTTCACGATTATTTTGTTTTCCTTTTCAAGTCCTGTCCGGTTACCATTTTATGACTTGATCTTCGAGGCGGCAGTTTTAGAAAATAAACCAGAATTTCCAGTTCCATATCTTCCTCGAGTCAACGATGACGAGCCACCTGTCAATCGTGCCAATCACCAACAACAATCGTCACTGTCACAGCATGAAAAAACAATGATAAAAGACATGACACTTGTCAGTCATGGTCTACAACCACCATTAGTGGTAAGCTGTTTTCGACAGCTCACAGAAATTGATTTGAAGAATATCTAATATGCATCTAATGTCCATTGGCCCATTTCACGAAACAAAATGACATAGGGTTTAACTTGCTACTTTTCTGCATCCATCTGGCTAATTGGGACATCCATGCGCCATGCAGTGTCCCTTATACAGATTGCCGTGTACGTAACAGACCCCTTGACAGATGGAATTCGAGTAGACGGCAGCGCCAGTGTCTGATAAAAAAAATCCCTCATAGCATAATGCATGGCGTATGCCCGTTGCCATTAGCCAAGTCGGTGCAGGGCGTTAATTTCCTTTCACAGAGGTGTACCAGCCTGTCAGATGTTTAATCTACAGGACTGTCAAGGAAAGTGTGTATACACTCTTTCATAAAATACCTACCAGGGCTAGAGTATTGCGTTGATAAAATGTATCTCTATTTTAAATATCGTTACGCTTTTCTTTATCAATATTGATCGTCAGGGGTTCATTATTTCTTGGTCCCGAAATGACCTAGTTTGTGTCGAGTGGACGTTAAAACCCATTTCTCTCTGTCTCTCGGTTCATTATTTCAATTCCTCCATGTTTCAGGGTTATTCTGTACCAGAACAATGTCTAGAGAAAATAAACTTCACTTTGGAAACACTCCATGGTAAAATAGAAGAAATGGAAAAGAAATTAATGGAATTGGAAGGTAATATCGCTTAGAGTTGACTATATGATTAAAATTGTAACGTCTTTTTTGGAAGCCGTGGTGGCTCAGTGAGTAAGAAGTTTGCTTGCTAACTTGGAGGTTACATTTCCGATCCCTGTGTTGACCGAGAGAGTTCAACGGATGGATAGGACGAAAACCCGAGTTCTCGTGTACCCATTTGCGTGCACGTAAAATACCCCCCGACAGTTGGAATTCAAAATAATGTAGTGTAGCTGTCCGGGAAAAATTTCCCTAGTGGATGCAGATCAGTATGAAGTTAAATACCTGCACCATTCCATTTAATTTCAACGTCTATATTGTAGGTTAATCCGTGTATCGAAGATAGAATTTATGATTCGGGTAACGCTATTCACACAGTTGGTATCTAGCTTCTATAACCCAACGCGGTTTGCTCTGTTAGAGAATGCAAACTAAACTGAATAAAGAATTATTTTGACAATTATGTGTAGAAATCCGTCGGTGGTCTGATTTAAAGCCTAGATCACAACTCGTCGTACGTGCTTTGACACGCACGGGTCGTAGGGTTTGGTAGCTTGCAGAACAGCTTCGATCTTCTACGGTGCCGAACACACGTAAGTGATGTGTAAGCCTCACGCACGGGTTTACTACCCCCCCCCCCCCCGCCCCCTCTAGACTGTCCGTATAGCACGACTGGTTGTGAGCTAGGCTTAAGATTGATACCAACCAAAACTGCCTAACCAGCGTGAAGATGTTGCGTCTGGTAAACATGGTGCTTATTCACAAACTTAAACTAAAATATTTTAATGAGATTTGACTTAACCTGAAGTCTTAAAGAGTCATTTTTTCTTTTACAGCTAAACGAATAAAACTGCTCGCAGAGCTAGCTAGAAAAGAATTCCCAGGAATAAATGGTGTGATTTATTCACAGAAAAAAAAGAAAGGAAAAAAAGTACATTTTTTATCATTTTAATTCAACTGCTTGGAACGGTCAACGCATGGATAACTACATAATAAACACACGCCAAATACAATAGAACCTCAAGATAGAAACCATGTTCAAAGGAAACATCGGTTGTCAGGAGGTGGCAAGCGTGGTGTTGGGAATAGGAGTAGAGGAGTTGGCGGCAACTTTGTAACTTTTTCTCGGTGTGCGTGAACAATTTTCTGAACCTAGATATTACCACCCATAAAATTAAACGCAAAGGGTAATAATTCAACATTGAAAATAAACTACTGTCTGAACCATCCTGAATTTTAAACGGATTTCTTCGATTATAAACAAACTAATTAACTTTGGTTATTATAAACTTAACTGTGTGTTTGAAATCATCCCCCGTTCAATAAAACCCATTGCACAACTAAATATCCCAACGAATAAAAAAGTTCTCTCTTGAAAAATTGAAATCCCCAAACTTTCAACACAGAAAAATACCAATATGGAAGCTGATATTATCATATTAAAGATAATCATGGGTAGTTCTTTTTCTTCATTCTTGTTTCGAACTGTTTTGGGCGGGTTTAGCCAATAAAATATTTTTGCAACAGATGTCGCTAATTCGTAAATGAAATGTTTGTACAAAAGCTTCATAATATTGCCTTATTGAATATTAAAAATACATTTTCAGAAGAAGCCAAAACCAACCAGTTCGATACAAAATGGGAAGATAACTGATGAAATTATTATTGAAAGACTGGATAAAAAGGGTTTAGCCAAGGTTAGTAGGCTATTGTTTATTTCTCTTCATGCTCTATCAATCAGTCTTTGGTGTGGCTGTTAGTGGAAAGGGACTACTAGTATCGATGAGAATGTCCCAGGTTCTCGTTGCGTGTTTTTTTTAAAGTGAGAACTTGACTTCAGAGATATCGAAATAAAACAAAATTTAATAACCTATCATGGTTTGTAATTTGGTGACTTTTTTATTTTTTGATTTTGGTCTCCAAACTTTTATAAATCAATTGAATGAATGAATGAACTTGTTTAATGGCATGTTTAATAGAAACAAATAATCACAATATATATTTATATATACCTAAATAAAAACAAATATCACAGTAAATATCAAATAAAGATAAGTATCATAACTGTGTGTATATATATTTAAAATATGAAATAAAAAATCAGATATATACAATTAAAATTTTAAAATTTGTCCCGTTTAAAAATTCTAGCGCTTTACAACATAGACCTGGCTAGGCAAACAACTGATGTACTGACTGGCAACGGTAATGATCTAGCTCAATTCAGATGATTGTACTCCATTAAAATGTGTTTAACTGTGAAAGGAACATGATAGTGAACACATTCTGGTTGAGGCGCTGGCTTTAACAAAATCAATTGAACATGTATCCTACTTATATGATTTTATTAATTCCCCATTTTTCAGCTTTGTTCGAAAGCAGATATTCGAGTTGTTGATGTAGAAATTGAAAGAATTCGCCAAAAGATAAAAGATGTTACATTTAGACAGAATCAACTAAAAGGTATGGTTCAATAGAGGCCTACTCGTCTAACACCCATAGCACAGGGGAAAAGAGATGTCTGTTGAAAAATATGTACCATATATAGCGACGCTTGTCAGAATCATGTTATCAACCAAAATGATTGCGATTGTATGGTACATATCGTTTCTGTTCCTAGAATAGGATCTGTGAACCAATGATTCGTTCTACTATAATTTCACGCTAATAGTTTGCGTTTTCCATAATTAAACCTCTTTAATTTAGTCCCCTTGTCCTCGTTACGTTCAAGCCTGCCTAATAGCTGTGTTTAAACATCGGCATCCATAAGCTTTACGTTGTCGGAACTGTTCCAGGCCGCGATACAATTCAAGAAATTGCACCGTTTACATCGCTATACAGAGTATACAGTAACAGTTCTGGTAACCATGCCATACACGCTAAATGGGAATATCTTCACTAAAAAGTTAATTTCAGTTACCCCGATTGAAAAAATGCTGACGATCCAGTTCCGTAAAACGAAACGAATGGAAACCAAAACGAAAAGTCCAGGCCGCGATAAAATTCAAGAAATTATACCGTTTACATTGCCATACAATAACCGTTCTCAGAACCTTGGCAGACACGCTTAATCTGATTAAAATACAGATCTTTGTTTACGTTTCGTTTTGTTATACTTTCGATGACCTCCTCCACTACATGAAGATCTGACCGGTTGTAGTGCAGGGTCGTGTCAGGGGTCATACGAGCGGCTTTTGACCCTATGACGTTATACATTTGATTAACCAATCAATGTTGATGTTTCTAGTGGGATGCCCACAGTTCCGTGCACCGTACGCAAAGAACTCACCGTAACAGACCGTTTCATTGGGTTATCCCTCACATCAACCAGAACGTGGGTTATATTACAACTCGACCAGATTCTAGTGTAGTAAAGACAAGTAAAACGAAATTTTGAAATATAAAAAATGAAACGAAATAGGATCTGTGTTTTAATCAGATTGAGACACGCTAAGTGTGGAAATCTTCACTAAAAACTTAATTTCAGTCCCCCAATCATGTTATCCCGATGGAAACAAATGATACAGATCCGGTTCCATGAAACCGAAACGAAAACGAAAAGTCATGTTTAAAAATAGCCTGCGTTGCTGTTACTTCAAGTTAGCCGTTACACAACGAAACCGGGGTTTATGACAGACTCGTTACCACGCATTAGCCACTTATTGTTCAAACCCGTTGGTGTCAAGTGGGCTATCGCTTTGATGGTCGACAACTGGGAGAGTAGGCCTGTGTGGTTGTTTTGGATGTGGTACATCGGTTAACCTATTTAAATGGATGGACATGCGTAGTAAACTAAAAGCCATCTTGTACGATTGAAACTTTATTACCAAATTAACGTTTAAGGGCCATATGTTTAAAGATAAAAACGTATATTTAACTGTATTTATATTTTGTTTTATTCTAAACAGATGAAAGGAATATGTTATTGGGTTACTGTGAAGATGATTTTGTAAATAGACAGTTTACTGAAAAACATTCTAAAGATCTCCGTCGTAAACAGAGTGACCTGTACAATACATTAAGACCCACACCCGTAAGTAAATGTCATTAAAATACAGATGTGGCATCATTCTTTGATGTTGGTGATCCATCACTTCAAATAATAGTAATATTGATCTCGCTTGACGATATCATAGAAATGCACGTGCGGGATGGTATTTTAAGTTGTTTATTGGTCTCGAAGAAGACATTGCTAAATGAAATAAAATGAGATGGGTTTTAACATCCTACTGTTCTGCTCCGACTAGGCTAATGAAGACGGGCATACTCCATACGGTGTGCAATAAGGGACATTTTGCCCAGAAACGCACACTTAGATAAATGAGATGAAATTGGGTTTAACGTCCACTGTTCTGCGTCGACTCAGCTAATGAAGTCAGGCATACGCCATACAGTGTGCTATGAGGGAAATTTTGCTCGGACAACTGCACTACGGCCTACCCTTATATCGAATTCCATCTGTCATGTGTACTTGCAAGTACACTCCAATGTATACATGGGACCTCGCTTTTTCTTCCCATCCTAACGACTGTACGAAATGCAGTGTGCTATGAGGGAAATTTTGTCACTTTTTTCGGCTTGGTATCCTATTTTTTCGTAATCAGCACCCTTGAAATAGGTAAAAAAGAATGGATACCAAATCCTACTAAAAAATGCCTCATTATCTTTTATTAGAGCCCTTTTCCAGAATCGGGCCTAGTCTACTACTCTTATTTCGAATTCCAACTGTCAATTATTCTTTAACGTGCACGCCAATGTGTACACCGGGCGGGACCTCGGTTTATCTTCCGATCCGAACGACTATTCGTTGTACCTTGCTAGGCCCTCTATCCTGCAAATCTGAAAAAGAGGAACCCCATAGGAAAATCCGGATGAACTTTCTTGGTCAACTCAAGGATCAAACACGGTACCTCCAGGTTAGTGAGCCAACGTTTTATTCATTGCGCCACGGTAACCGCACACACTTATATATAGATTTTCTCGGATTACATAATGCTAGAGATAATAAAATTCTAGAATGAACTGAACTCTCAGCTAGATTGGGTGCGAATCGGGGAGTGATTTTGCAAGACATGTACCTTCTGATGGTAGGAAAACCCCTGGTTCATCCGTGTAGTATTGAAATACGTGTAAAAGATCAATTGCGTTTGGGACAAAATGTCCCCCTTTCGATCCCTTTCGGAGGATACACGTGAACGTAGTAGTGTGAAACGGGGCTACTTTGAATATTAATTTTCATTTATTAATGATTGCTAAGCTATTATATGTTTTTAATTGCTATAATTCATGGGGAAGAAAAAGTTTTATAATAAATTCAGGTTTATTTGAATGTAGGAATATAACTTTTCATTTTTTTTTTTAAAAATGTGGGTTTTCAATCTTGACTCGCCAATGGGGTAACTTTGAACGACACATAAATTTCCATTCAAAATAATTTAAATTCATCAAAATACTTATAGTTCAATTAACATTTCAACAAAATAAGAATACCTTTTGGTTTAAAAATATTAATTTTTTTCAATTTTTAAGACAGAAAATTTAGGTGTTCAATCTTGCCTCGAAAGTTTGGTTACTTTGAACGGTTCATAAAATTGCATTCGATAAATTAATGGAAATTTAATAAATTTATCAAAATGTAACAGTAAATTCATTTGTTATAGTTAATCAAATGCAAGAAACATAACAAATGTTGTGATTAAATGTCTTTGGGGAGACGTTCACCTGATTTTCTGGCGTGGTTCCCCCTTGTCAGTGGTGTAGGTAGGACAGAGGGCCTTGCAAGGTACAAGGAATGGTCGGTCGAATCGGACGATAAACCGAAGTCCCGTCCGGTGTAATAATAATAATTATTATTATTTAACGCCAATTACATCAACATAGATCTCAATAGACGGTACAATATAAAGTGAAAAACAATAAAATATCACAGAGCATCGTGAAAGAAAAGATATGTATATATAGAACATTTGCGTTAAAAAGTAGATCTCAAATAAAAAGAAATAACTCGGAAAAACTACTAAGAACAAAACAAATTTTAAAATTGCTTAAATGACTCAAATATAACAATAAAAACTGATAATATGCTATGCTAAAGAGATGTGTTTTTAGTAGGGATTTAAAAGATTGAGTGACGGTGCATTACGGATGTTTAAAGGCGTGGCATTCCAAAGACAGGGGGCGACAATAGAAAACGCTAGTTTGCTCGAAAAGTTGGCATTTCTGATAAAGATCTGGTGGTTCTAGTTGACTGCCCATAGGAGATAAGGTCACGTAAATACGACGGTGCTTGATTGTGTAGAAATTTAAGGTGTGCAGCGGAGTTTTGAAGACATTGGGTACGCTTGATATTAAGTGTACATAATATTATGATTGTATTTGTAGTATATTTATTAAATAAGGAGACGAATTAATATACGCCATAAGGAGACGAATTAATATACGCCATAAGGAGACGAATTAATATACGCCATTGGTTTGTTTTTGAGTCCTTACTTTTTGACAATGGATGTATCCATTATCTATCTTATTTGAATCAATATTGTTTAAATCAGTAGCTGTCCTGACAAAATTTCACTCATAGCACACTGCATTTCGTATTAGCCCAGTCAGAGAAGAAAAGTAGGACGTTAAACCCCATTTCATTTTATATGCGCAGCATTTTGTGTTGGATAAGAGAACCACCCTGTAGTATTGTAGTCGACGTTACCTATCCATAGTGTTCAGTCGATTCTAAACCTAAATGCCTTAGCATCTTTTTGCATCAGCCAACCCTTCCTATTTCTAAATAAAGTATTGTTAATATATAATTATCAGGATTATGAGATAACGTTGGATAATCTACGTGAATCTCTACAAAAAATCAACAATCATCTTTTAACAGATAAAGAATGTGAATTTATATATCAAGTAAGTAGAATAATTATATTGAATACTGACTAGGTTAAGACAGCTAGAAAAACTCCAATCTTCCAAACTATATTACAGTTTCGTTAAGTAACTTTTCTACTACTGTGCATTATAGTATACTGATTGTTGTAATAACCTCTCTGCAATTGTCAATTTGGTAGAACATGGAATATCAAACCATACACATAAGGACACTGACTTCGAAGAAATCTGAAACAATAATTTAATTGTGGCGTGGAGTAGACATTAATCGACATGCCTTTCAAATGACATTTCAATTTTGGCAACAATCAACCACTTCTTAAATGCTATACACTTTTAAGTAAAACGTTGTTGTTGTTTTTTTTTTAAATTTTATTTGCTGGGTTTTTCTTTTGTATAGGTATTGGATCTTCCTGGGAGAGAAAGAATAAATTTCCGACTGTTTTCTGTAGTAGCTGCTTTATCTGAAAAAGTTACACAGCTTGAGTAAGTACATTTATTTAACACTAGTTATACCCGTCTTCATTAGCCTAGTATAGGAGCAGAACAGTTGGACGTTAAACCCCATTTCATTT